TGTATATTTAATATATTTGACATGAATACAGTGTGAGTTTAATTTTCATAGTTGAAATCATGAGTCAGTTGAAGCTAGACCACCATGGAAAACCTGGAAGCACTGGACGGCCGTTTCATCTTATTATGGGACTCCTCAGCAGTGCGCATCCACGATTTTGCACTCACGAGATTCGAACCCTTGAGTTCTAGTGGTAAGCAGTGATCATTGAAGTTCAATCAAGTCTGTTGTGAGATATCAACTGACTGAAGACAACTGCTGAACGGTTGCTCAAACATCGTGGATTGGTTGGAGTAAGACATAAACATCATCGCATGCCGGCCCAGTGGTCTATCGGTTAAGTTCTCTGGCTTGAGACTGGTAGATCCTGGGTTTGAATCTCGCGAGGCAAGATCATGGATGCGAACTGCTGAGGAGTCCCACAATAGGACGAAACGGCCGTCCAGTGCTTCCAGGTTTTTCATAGTGGTCTAGCTTCAAATGACTCCACAAAACCCCTTCTGATCAATTTAATTTGTACCGATAATCTTGGTTTATTGGGAACTATTGTAGTGAACAAGAACACGACTGGGGACAATCGAGTGTATTGAAGCACAAATTACAGACTATCTCACTAAATTATGATAATCTTACAGTCAATAGTTAGTTTGCAAAATAACAATCAATTGTCTCAATCTTAACTGTTCCTTCTGCAAATATCAGTCTATCGTCTCCTATTATTATTGTTCATGCATTTTCATACCAATTGTGTTTCTTTTCCGTTCTTTCCTTATCGATCTTCTACTGAAATATATTCTATTCCTGACCATCACTATACACTACTCATATGGATATAAGTAGACCACACCACATTATCAGTTTTACTCTTTTTTTGTTTAGAAAAACGATCAAAAGACATAACAGCTGAGAAAAAAACAAGTTTCACAGAATACAAAGAAACGGGAATTGAATTAAATAATTCAACCATTATTATTAATTATTTGAATGGAACAAGAAAAATCAATTATGTCACCCTATCCGTAAGTAATTTGTCTATTTGAGATTTAAAATAGTAATAAGATACAACCAGTATACCCTAATGTATGTGGTGAGTGAAAATGTAGGTTTATAGTAAATAAATTGATTGTAGTGTTTTTAACCAGATCACCACTAATACATGGATTAGTAGGTAAGTTTTATTAAAAATGTTGCTGTTCAACACTATACATAATGAATAAGAAACCGATATACACTCGAATGGCACGGTACATCATTTATATCAATCCACTTCATGGAAATATTTATTTTTTGTAAGTATTGAAAATTCAAAGAATACTAAAAAAATTTCTGAACATTTGAGATTCTTCTCAGTTTGGAATCATCTCTTAACAATAAATTATTTAATATCATAAGGGGTTTTGTGGATATTATAGTAATTTTAATAGTTGAGATTGTTATATCGTGTGAGTGCGTGCGTGTGCCCTGTTTGATATATGAACGTGCTGGTTCCCGTCAGTCACAGAGGAGTGAACTATCGATCAGAGCAGTCCTGCTCTCCACCTAGCCCGGCCAGTTGAGTCCAAAACACCATTAACGACCTCTGCAATATGTATCATTATTCTCAAACATACTGGATTTATATACCAAACAAACTGACCACATCGTACCATAAAATAGAAAATAACAATTGTACAAGGTTTAGCCAAATGTGGCTGTGAATAGGGGGAATATTAATTGATGGACTGGGTATAACTCAAGAATGGTAAATCGTATAATAATAGTCTATAGGTCAAAATAAAGCTTATAATAAGAGGGACACGTATATAAATAGTTTAGTTACTCGGCAATTATACAGTAAGAAATATACATATCAGATTGGTCCATAAATAATCCTCAAAGTTACCATTCATAAATCTCTACGGGATATAACAGAGATCATGAGTCAATTGAAGCTAAACAATCATGGAAAACTTGGAGGCAATGGATGAGCACTGCTGAGGAATAAATTATTTTTGCTATTAAATCACTCACTTCAAAGAATGTTGAGAAAATATCAACCAAATTACCAAATATAGTGGAGGTTATATACTCATATTTAAAAATGGATCTTACATTCTACATTAAAGGATTATTTTGATGATTACAATTTGATCTTTTTTGTATGCTGACAGCTGATACTGTCCAAACAAAAGGGTAAAGAACCACTTCATAAATTAAAATTTTCATCAAATACTTAATAACAAAGAGTATTAAAACAAATAGTTTAGTGTTTAAACAGTTGTTTTTGTCTTATTTTTCAAATAAACATAACCTCTTGAAACTAATACGACATATAGGATATTGGCTAGCAGTGGAATCTAGGACGCGCGTCTCCTTCTATTACGGACTCATCAGATGGATGTACCACAATCTCAGAGTTGATATTCAATCTGAGACTCGGACCCAGTACCGTTCGCTTCAAACGCCATCGCGTTATCCACTTAGCTGCTGAGTCCTGATAGCCACTTGCTTGTGCGATGGGGTGAAGTTTAAATTCACTTGGAATTGTTTGTTTGAATCCTCCCATTGATGATTAGAACTGCAACTGGTCAGTCTTGTGAATTAAGGCAATATCGATGCAATGTGCGCAGTATGCACATATGCCAATAAAAGACTGACCAGTTGCAGTCCTAAACATCAACGGGAATATACGAACAAACAATACTAAGTGAATTTAATATGGCAAATGTAGTTTTAGGGGAAATATTTAGGTAATGCAGTCATTAGATAATTTTCATTTTTATATAATTTTATTTTGTAACATGTGCTCACTAATAAACAACTTAAACAAGAATGTCTGAAGTTACAGAGGGAATCTGAGACCTTTGGAGTCCAAAAATATCTGGCATTACAAACGGCCGTAATGGATAATGATCATATAATATCGTTAAATGACCTAGGTTTTGGGAATAACGAGTTGGGTCTAAGCTCGATAGTCCTTAATTAAGGTATGTGCTCCTGACAAGGCTGTGAGTGCTCACTATTGAGGAGTTTCATGTTAGGACATAACAAATGTCTATAGCCCCTTCATTTTTCACGTTTGTTCAACTAAATTTTGCCTACTGGTGTGAAGTAACTTCAAATAATCAAAGCTGAAAATATCCATTTACTACAACATTCGCAAATACAGTTGTACTTAAAACAAATGAAGATCATGTATTTTTTTAATGATTGTTTTAAAGTTAGATCTTAAAAAATGACTGAAGAGTATAAACATTCAGGTTTTTCATTCTTGATTTTCAAAAAAACAATAAAAATTGTTTTATTTGTGACGGGATCCAAATTATGTAATATATTTCCACGCTACTACCCATTTTAATGTTCAAGATGAACTGTTTATTTTCTCCTGTATCATGCATTTGTCTCCGTAAAACAATTTAGAATCACTGTTCATGGTACAAAAAATTGTCATTATTATGAATCAGTAACAGCTGTAGACGTTAGCGAAATTAGAAAACATTAGAAATTCTCAACACTGTTATTTACTTGTGCTCAGATGTATACACACAAAGTCCCTCACAGTATCATTATGTTTCATAATTCAATATTTCCTACACCTTTCTGTCTAGGCGATTTAGTACTAAAATAGTTTAATGTGATTTGTGCATAACCGAGTGACATTCAGTTTAGTTGATCGTGTGTTAGCAAACCTCTTATTCAGTGTTACTCAAAGGTTTCACCTTCTAAATGTACGTAATCATCTTATCATGACTTCTTAAACAACAATCTAAAAACAACCATAAACTAAGGCTCTATTTTGACAAGCATGCTAAGCAAAGATGGATAGTGGATAGCAATGGAATCCAGGAAGCGTGTTTCGTCCTATTTGGAACTCGTCAGCCGTGTGGACCTGCATTTTAGAGTTGATGTTCACTCTGCAACTCGAACCCAGTACCGTCCTCTTGAAACGCCATCGCGTTATCCACTCGGCCACTGAGTCCTGATAGCCACTTGGTTGTGCAATGGGGTGAAGTTTAAATTCACTTGATATTGTTTGTTTGAATCTTCTCATTGATGTTAAGAACTGCAACTAACAGACTCTTATCGGCATATATGCATCCTGTGTGTATTGCCTCGATATAGCCTTATTTCATAGCCTATTCATCTTCGCTTACGCACAGTATCCACATATGCCAATTAGAGACTGACCAGTTGCAGTACTAAACATCAATGTCAAGATTCAAGCAAACAATACTAAGTGAATTCAAGACTCTATTTGTTACAAATTAAGTCGCTCCACATATATAGTTGCCACTGACTGACTTAATCGAGTTAATTCCTTCTACTGACAAAGTATTCAAAGTAGTTCATTCATTAGTTGGTTCTTTATCATCCACAAACTTGAGCATCATTTTTCAAAATATTCATACCTATACCAAGGTAGTTTAATTTTAAATAGACCTGATTAAGTATTCTGCATTTAATCTTTTGATGTATAAAAAGAAAAACAATAAAAATTCAGAAGGGGTTTTGTGGAGATTTAGTATTTTCATAGTTGAGATCATGAGTCAATTGAAGCTAGACCACCAAGAATAACCTTGAAGCACTGGACGGCCGTTTCGTCTTATTATGGGACTCCTTAGCAGTGCTCATCCACAAACCCGCACTCGCGAGATTCGAACCCAAGACCTACCAGTCCCACGTCAGACTACTGAGTCGGTCTATCGGTCAAGTGCTCTGGCGCGAGACCGGTAATTCCTGGGTTCAAATCTCGCGGGTGCGTGTTCGTGGATGCGCACTGCTGAGGAATCCCATAATAGGACGAAACGGCCGTGCAGTGCTTCCAGTTTTTCCATGTTGGTCTAGCTTCAATTGACTCATGATTTTAACCATGGAAATAAAAATTCGTTCAATGTGAACGAATAATTTACTTGTTTTATTTATTTATTTTTAAAAAAAACCTTACTTAAGTATGATTGGTTACTTGATGATAAGATGGCAGTTCGGTAATAACCAATGAATACGATTAGTAAAGTTTTCCATATTATCCTAAAATGTATTGAATAACATTAAGGAAAAAAAACTATATGGGAAATAGTAACTATGCTATTAAATCAAGTTAAATCTAGTTCCTGTACTTTATTATATTATGATTTATAATCATATACGTATTCATTTTACATAACATCATATTCAAAATATATACTTGTTATGAGGTTAACAACTTTAGTAGCCGGATATAAAATTCAACATAAAAAGGATATAATATCATGTATTGTAATACTATTGTTACTATGCTGTCATACAAATACGGATAACACTATCGATACACCTAATAATAATGAAGACCAAGAAAAAACTTTCATGAACTCAACCTTATTATTATTATTATCATTAAATGAAAGTGATCAATTAAATAATAAAAAGTCGGATGATTGTACAATTTCATTAACCGAATTTATTATTTATTTTTATATTCAACCTATAATTTGTTTTATTGGATTTATATTAAATATATTAAATGTGATTATATTTTGTAGACCACAATTTTCAGGAGCTGCTTATGCTTATATGATTGCAATGTCATTAGCTGATGCAATTACATTAATTAGTTATATGCCATCTGGTTTAGTTAGGTAAGTTTATGCTTTTTTTTAAATGTGAGAACATATACAATTATCCGTAAGCGCCTTTAACTCTTATTTATTTATTTATATTAAAAACACATAAATATTGGTACAAGGAAGCACCAGATAAATATGCGCCTCACAAATCTCATTCGATTTGTGTGAGGGCTGTGATACTGCCCAGGTACCCAAACTGAAGCAGGTGGTTTTCTTAGGGGGCCACACCCCGAGCCTTTGACCCAATGGTCTGATCCACAAGGCAGTGGAGCATCGTGAGGAGATGCAGTCCCATGGTAGCCGGTGACCAACAATTGGTTCATACGCCATTTGTTTCCTCAGGATACTGGAGCCCATGTGCACCATTGGTTTGGAATCAGGATTTTCCAACTCCCCTAGGTGGGTTTTCTGTGTTCACCAAGCCGGTTAAAGCACCGGGCATTCGCTTTTCGTCCTCTCAATTTCGTAAAAAACACCCTGGTGCGAGAAGGCAGTTAGTGGGACTTTCCAGGCAGAGGCTATATACGCGTAGCCATGTGAGAGCATTTGGATAGGAAGAGCGGACTCTTCCCACTCTCGGCCGTACCAGGGCATTTGGGGGCTACTCTTAATAATATCAAATGTATTTTCTTTTATTTTTATAGTTCTCACTCTAAAAACGGTAAAAACGAATGACTAATAACTTTGAACTTTAATGAGATTTTTACAAAGTTATAGTTTATTTTGAATTGATTTGACTAGGCCGAAACTATTGGTAACTTCGTCAGCTATTTAGATCTCTGTTGTCCACTAGAACTTTTATGAACTCTTCTTAAAACTGAATGATATTGAATGTGTAATTGAGCTTTAACTTCGTATGAATAGTATGAACCCTACCGTTCAACCTGGAGGTCCTACTCTTCATTCTAGGTACGATGATGGCTTTATACAGTTTTAAAATAATACGAACTACCTTATCAGTGGTTCTTGATTCCCGATGATCCTCACAGCTGAGCTCAATTCCGTGATAAAACATGTCTTTATTGATTCATATCGAGTTCAAGAAGTTGAAACATAAAATTATTGAGTGTTACCAAGGTTAACAGGCTTAAAATACCTAACTTCAAATGAAATTCGCAAGCAAATAAGAATATTGGTAAATCTTTAGACTTAATACTTGTGTTTGTTCAAACTCATCAAATAAATGTTACTCAGCCTATGAAAGTTTAATACACTACATTTGTCAGATTACTTGTTTAAAAACTTGCATAAGAGTAAACCTTTGTATTATAAATAATATATTTGTAATATCCCAATGATTAGGAAAAATAGATTTTCTGAGGTTTCAAAATTTTGATTTGGTTATTTATTCTCTGAGGAAGTGGTTTACACTGAGTCACGAAACGTTAGAAAATCTAATTTTTCTACTCATTGGGATATTACAAATAAATTAGTTTATTTATAATAATCTACCCAATACTCAATTTATTCGAAATTATCAAGTCAAACCTTGGTAATAATACCTACAAACGTTTTTATTGATTTCATGGTAGTACTTGTTCATTTTTCCAAATTATTTACCCTAACAGATTTTGGTAGAACAACAAGAAGGAATCATTTTTCAAAATTTGATCACTTCGTTATGAAGGGTATTTTAATAAGGATATTAATAATTTTACCGTCTAATAATGAAGACGATAATAACAATAATAATCACTCCCTTCAACACTAAACACTTGTATGTAAAATATGTTATGTAGCAGAATTCCTTCTATTAAAATTGCTCTTCTTACATACCTTTGATTCATAAATTCCAATCTAATCATCCCTAGATTACTTCATTACGAAATGAAAAAGGAAAATACACCAACCATTGTGATAATTCTCTTTTAACTTCTAAGTATTTATTACCTACTTGTTTTCTGAGCTTCATACTAAACACACAAGTTGAAATCATGTTATTAACATATAGGAATAGTTGATTGAATCAAATTTAAAATATTAAATATAATATTTACCCAGGTACAAAATAAAACATTCAAATATTTGACCAAGATCTTTTAATCAGAAGGGGTTTTTGTAGAGATTTCATTATTTTCATAGTTGAAAGCATGCATCATTTGAAGCTAGACCACCATGGAAAACCTGGAAGCACCGGACGATCGTTTCATCCTATTACGGGACTCAGTGGTCTATCGGTTAAGTGCACTGGAGCGAGACTGGTAGACCCTGGGTTCGAATCTCGCGAAGTGAGATCGTGGATGCGCACTACTGAGGAGTTCCACAATAGGACGAAACGGTCGTCCAGTGCTTCCAGGTTTTCCATGGTGATCTAGCTTTAATCGACTGATGATTTAAAGATGTTTTACTTCAATTTTCTATTCCTAAGAATTCTGATTTTGTTCTTTTAGTTTTCTGTTGCATTCCGGAGAATTCTATATTGTACCAGATTATAATATTGAATAAAGCCATTAATAATAATAATAATAATAATAATAATAATAATAATGTGACCTTGAATAAACTCATATGAACTCTTGAGGAGTAAGATGCTCATCTAATGACTGACATACACCTGTTTTTAATCATGAGTTGATAACAGCTAGATTATCACTGGAAATCGGCAAGAGTTGGACAAAAGTTTCGATTTAGCATGGGATCTCTCAAAAAGTCTCAAGAATCGAACCGCAGGTATTTGAAAAGGATGGTGAACATTTAGATACCAGACCATAGTTGAAGATTAATATAGGATTGTCATGCTAGTACAAAACATAAACCGAGTTCTCCCTAGCTTCCAGTAATATACCATCTGAAATGAATCAGTGATATAAACTACTGATAAATTAGACTATTCTCCATGAAATCTCTCAATCAAAATAATAATCAGTTTATTTCCTCCTAATAAACGTCCAGTCTGTATTGAGACGTTTGCAAGTATATGTATGAAATACGAATACTGGCTAGATTCTTCAAACAGTAGACAAACAAATAAAAATTCTTTACAACTATTATCAATTTCTTAAAGTATTCAGCAAGAAATATTTATTATCGGAAGCAAACGGAAACAAAGATCTTTCACTGTCACCGCTGACCTATTTTTCTTTTTACAGACTAACATATAATGTCTTTATGCTTTCAAGAACTCTGAAATCTCCGAATTTCTCATCGTACATTTTTTCTTTCCTTTCAACGCAGATCACACTCCATAAAACCATATTTCTATCAAATGAATATACTTAATTTTTAAACGAAAAGGTTTCTATTGACGGACGTTATCTATAAAAAAAACTAACAAACATATTCATTGCATTCAAAGCTTAAGAATGACTTTATACTATAAATGCTCATTATGAAGTTAGTAAATATAATAATCTTTCTTACCACCAAATCAACCTATGGTATATCAAAGTATACACATTCAGGTTAATAATCTTATCTACATAGAACTAATCACATGTGAATAAATATTTATGAATAGAATGTGTTTATGTCTTTACTTGGAAAAATAATAAATAGGGAAAAAAAGATAGAGATAAGCATGTGTTTTCCTCTTATTGTGAAACAGTAAACTAATACTTAATGTTTATAATTATCATTATTGTTCCGGTTTTTTTTGTTCTGTGAATTGGATAGGGAAAATTGTATAAGCTTAACAAATAAGTGGTGGATAGGGTATTACAAAAATACATTTTCATTTTGACTATGAACATGTTCGTGATAAGCTTAATCAAAATAATGATAAAGAATAATGAGAATGATTGATAGAAATGGTACTTCCCTTTTTTTTCTTCAAAGTAAACCCATTTGAAATAAACAAATAGATAGAAAAGTATTTTTGTTTTCTTGAAAAAAAACAGAAGGAAGAATATCAAAGTATAACATTGTACTTGGTTGAGAAAGTACTTATAGAAATGGAATACGTGGATGAAATAGAATAAACAATTATTGGATATTATTTTATCATTGACATATATTCATATTATCATTATTTGTGTCAGTAGTAACATTTGATTTATATTATCTCTAATAAAATGTGAAGTCAGATATTGATATGGTCAAGTGCCAGCTCAATGATCTAGAGGTTAAGTGTTTGCACATGAAAGTGAAGGTCCCGGATTCGAATCCCACGTATGGGAAGATGAATACACACTGGTGAGTCCCATACATGGTGGCCTAACATTGATCGGTTCATGATTTCGATTAAAACTCAATAATCTCTACAAGCATATACTGAAAGTGTTTACAGATGAATAGTATGATGCATGCTACTTATGCTGATAGACGTAAGTAGTATGTAGTAGCAACTGGAAGTGCAATGCCTGCTAGTAGAAGACTGAAATAAAAAGAAAAGGAAAGGAAACAGAGAGGAATTGAAACAAAAACCGGATTGGAAGAATAAAGAAGTATGTACAGGATAAGTGAAGGAAAATGTGGAAATAATATATTAAATGTATGATTTTCATCTACATTAGTAGAAAATTATTTTTATCAAGAAACAGGAAAACACTTTTGTTATATTATTATAGAATAAAAGGACCGTGGTTAGCAGTGAATTTCAGAATACGGACAATCCATTGATTTATGGAGTGGAAAGTACTGGGCTCAAGTCCCATTATGGACATCAACTTTGAGATGCTGTCATATCAAGATGACTAGCTCTAAACAGAATAAACTGTAAACTCTGAATTTCACTGTTAGCCATGGTCCATAAGTTGATTCCATATGATATGACAAAAACTCTCTGTAGTGACAATCAGCCAATAAAGTCTGATCAGAATTTACTGCGGATTATAAACAAATAGATCGTATTTTCTTGATTCAGATTACTGTTTATGATGATGATTTTACAATTAATTTGTTATCTTAACGATCAGATGTGAAAAAAATACTACAAAATGCTAACGAAACCATCATAGTTGTTGTTGTGCTGTTTGATTTTTGCTCTTTCCCAAAAATAATAATATACAATCATATTGGAAGTCAAGGATTGACTACATACTAAATGAAACGAAATGTTACAGAAAATAAAAATG